TTGCTGAGGCTGGCTTTGAACTTGCAATCCTCCTGACTCAGCCTCCCCAGCTGCCAGGATTACAGAAGTGCACCACTGCACCCAGCTGAAATTTATTGGTTGTTTTTTTTTTTTTTTTAAGTTAAGCCTTACAGAAATATACAAGAACAAAGGTCCCATCTAAACCTACCTGCTAAGATACAACCGGCATTAGCAATCTATGTTATTCTATTCTTTGGAGCCAGTCTTCCAGGAAATTAGCTCTGCCGGTCACTAATGGCCTTGGACAAGAATTTAGCTTCTTTGCATCTGATAATTCATATGTAAAATGGGAATAATAACAGTACCTATACTATTTGTCAAGCACTTAAAATGGTGCCTGGCAATAGTTAAGTTTTTAATAAATGTTGGCCTTTTCCCCATTAAATATGAATGAACATTTTCTAAAACTGAATTGTGATCACCCTATACACTTTATAACCTGTTTGTTTTCCACTTCACAAGATATTCTGGGTAGCTTTTAATATTAGTATGAAAAAGTCTCTTCATTCTTGTTAGTAGTTACCTCATACTCTTTGGTGTTAATGTGCCATAATTTATTGAACCAGTCTCTTATTGTCTACTTACAAAAGATATTGTAATGAATGTTCTTAATCTTTGCTCACTTGTAAAATATATTTTGTGATGAGTTTATAGAAGTGGAATTTCAAAATGAAAAAGCAATTTTTATTTAGAAGTAAATGTCAATAGTTGTAAAAATCTGCTATGAAGTGTATGTTACCTTGATGACACAGACAAACTAACCAGTTGAAATGGTAATCCAAATATATTCTACTTTACCTCCAAATTAAAAGAATGTTCATCAGATCAGGTGATAGATGCTGGGCTTGATGATGCACACCTATAATCCCAGCAACTTGAGAGGCTGAGGCAGGAGGCTCACAAGTTTGAGATCAACCTCAGCAACTTAGTGATACTCTTCTCTCAAAATAAAAAACAGTGCTGGGTATATTTGTGGAAATTACATTCAATTACTGATATCCCCATTTGATATTCATTTAACACATTTTTTTTAATGTTCTATGAAATAAAAGATAGTAGGCATACTTACTAATTTGAATGAAAGCCTCTCTCTCTCTCCCCCTTTCTCTCTTTCAGTAGTGGGAATCAAACAGAGTGTCTTGGCTGAGTATGGTGGCACATGTCTGTAATCCCTGTGGCTTGGGAGGACAAGGCACGAGGATCACTAACTCAGCAATGGCAAGGTGCTAAGCAACTCAGTGAGACCCTATCTCTAAATAAAATACAAAATAGGGCTGGGGATGTGGCTCAGTGGTTGAGTGCCTGAGTTCAATCCCTGCTACCAAAAAAAGAAAAAAGAAAAGAAAAGCGCAGTGCCTTGTGCATGCTAGGTAAGTATTCTACCACTGAGCTAGATCCCTACCCTAACAACGCCTGACAGTATGCTTCCTTTGTTAAAGGCAATTACATCAAGGTGGGACAAGTGTGTGGATGAAGAAGTACTGGATGCTCTGAGAGCACGTCAGAGGGCCTTAACCCAGACTTGGAGTTATGTGTTTGGGAAGGCTTCCTAGAGGGAAGCTAAGGAAGTTTAGGCTAAGTTTTTTTTCCTGAAAAAATGAGGGGTGGGGTGCAAAATACACATTGAGAGACTGTTACACTAAGTAATCCAAGTAGACAGATTGAAGACATGGTCAAGATTGGTGGTGAGGGAAGGGAAATGGGGAGCAAGAGCTCATTGATAACTCAGGTATTACTTGGGGAACAGAAGGTGGAAACTGGAACAAGGGAGGAAAATGATGAGTTCAGTTTGGATCTGTAGAATTGAATTTAGGTGCCTGTGTGAAGTCCAAGGAGTGATATATATCTCAAACTCAGAAGGACCTGCCA